TCCAACCCGATTTCTGGATGTAGACATTGCTCCAGACTGGACAGTTTTTCTTCAACATTCTAGCTATGCTGCTGGCATCGCCAGCTCCCAAATGGTTGCTTTTGTTTTGTTTTGTTTACTTTCCCTTCGCCTCAATTTGGATGTTGTCCTAGTCGCTTGGTTCAGTCTCTTCAGCTTCCACGTTCGTGGCACATGTACTGTACTGTACTGTACTGTACTGTACTGTACTGTACTGTACTGTACTGTACTGTACTGTACTGTACTGTACTGTACTGTACTGTACTGTACTGTACTGCACAGTACTGAAAGTGTTGCAATTTGTCCACTTATTCAGGTACCATCCAGCTTGCAGATGCGCCTGTGGCTGAAAGAGCCTTTGAAAGACACTGCTTGCCGGGGCGGCTTCATTGATCCCCGCGGCACGATGCACAACGTGGGCAGCAGGAGGTGTCAAGAAATGACGTCCTTCATCTGCGAGTTCAACGAATCCATGACGCAGATGCCGGAGGCCTGTGAGGTACTGCACACCATGTTTTTGTTGTGACGCACTGAAAAGGTCTCCGATGCCGTGTCGCAGATGCTGAAAGCGTGTTATGTACGGCACTGCATTTGTTTTGCAACGTTGCAATCCGTTGCGACGTCGATGTTGAATTCACAAATCATCCATCGCGACATGATTTTGTGATTCACAAATCATCCATTGCGACATGAATTTGTGATTCTTTGTGACGGCCTGTGTGCAAATATCGCATTTGCCTCCAGATTCCATCATCGCGAGACGCTGCATTGTCAGCTGTGGTGTTTTCGTGGTGCCCTTGCCATTTTGCTGCAATCACTATGGTTTAACAAATGCACATAGTCACATTAACACTGTACTTGTAAAAAGGACCGTGCATCTGTGACTCTAACGTGATAACTTCGCCACATTCTGAGCTGCTTCCCCACGAATTTGCATTGATGGGACTTGCACCCCTGGCTCGTCCCCTAGTGAATGTATTACTAACATGGGTGTGGGTTGCCATGAGGGTCGGAATCCCAGTCGACGCTTGCATTAGTCAAACCCCACTTCCAACTTTCCTGTCATGGTTACGGCGGCTGGCCCACCCTGCCACTTCGCACAGCGAGGCCCTGATGCGCAGAGCACAACCCCACGTTCAAAGACCGTCAAACATTGGTGCATTAGAATGCTGTTTTGTTTGCGTACGTTGAAATGCATTGATAGCGGCTTCCAGCCATTCAATCATCTAAAATTTGGATTTGTGCAAGTTTGAACTGGTGGAGTTTGAATTGGAGAATTGGTGGGTTGTTGTTTGTGCGTGTTTGCAGGGAGAAATTACTAACGTGAGCCCAGACACAATTTCGAGCAGCACAGCAGAGGGATGCGGGTTGTCCGACGGGTGTGGCAAGGAGGAGCGTGTTGCAACGGGCGTTAGGGACGATGTTTCCACCGACCCCATCTGCGACCCTGGCGAGCCGAAGTCCTTCACAGAGCTGACGTGCTGCTCACAGGAGGAGTACAAGCGCCTCTGCCCGTCGCAGGTGACCGAGACAGACATTTATCAGTAAATGATGGCTGGATTGTGATTGATTGTATTGTTTACTTGTGGTTCATCGTTTTTGAATGGACATCGTTTTCGTTTCTTCGGCGTTTGAGTTGTTTGATAGTTGCTGTGATTGTAATGGCGATTTTCTTGGCAGGGGTTATAGGGCAGACGTCTAATGCACATGTAGAGCTTGCCCCTTCCAGGTGGCGAAAGCCCAAAGTCGTCAATAGGTAGCAGTTAAATCCGATGGATTGGATTTGCTTTCAGCTGTTTATGTATCGATATCGTTGTTGGCTCTTTCAGTGTTTTAAACGCACGAGCTGATTGGATTGTTGTTGTGATTTGCAACGTTGTGATTGGCATGTTGTTGTGATTTGGTGGTTTGTGACTCAACTAGCTTTGGCGGTGTAGATGCTCTCGTGCTGCTGGGCCTTCTGCCCCTTGCAAGTGATTGAGCCCAACGGGTGTTGACTGTTATCAGCTCAATTTCTTAGTAGTTTCCATCTTCTTCCGCTTAATTTCCGATCATGTTTTCAGCTAAGTACTGGGTGGTGTTGCTGCTGTTTTTGATGCCAAGATAGTGGACGAGCATCATGCTCGCCTGCTCTCCCCGGAGCCATGAACAGCTCGTCCGGCAAAAGGTGTCGCTGTTTGCAGTACTTTATTCTTATTGTGTCACCAATTCAGTTGGTGTGACGCTGCAAAATCGAGACAGCGCAACACCCCAATATGGATAACGTTCTGTGGACAGCGCGTGTGTTATAGTGTGTAATGCAAGTATGTGTAATATGTTCGTGAGAAGCTAGTCTGAAGCTGAACGCTACTTTCTCTTGATCATCGCAAACGTGGAAGATGTACTTCTCCGCAGCGCGGTGCTGGCCAGTGCATTGCTTTGCAACCCAGTGCTGGCCAGTGCATTGTAGTACACTACTGGTGATGGGCAGTACATTTGATCCTTGCGTTCTGGCTGCTGACATATTTTCTGTGCTCAAACACAGGTCATGGGCAACATCACAAGCCAAGAAGAGGTGAGTTCAACAGGAATCTCCTTTTTGAGCGAATGTTTGATGGTAAATAATAGTAGGTAAAGAAGCAATGGGTAAAGAAAAATGAGAAATGAAAAGGTGCAGACATGCTTGTGGATATGGTGTTACAAAATGGAATGAAAGTAAGTGGCTGCTGTGGTTTGTCGTTTGCTGTATTTTTTCCAGTGGGCTTGGTGATGCTAATCTTGCACCACTCGGAGTCTTCTTGTCAGGTGCCAGGAATCGATGGGCCCCTGGGCACCTGCTTAGATGAGTTCTGCCGTTAGGTTGGCACTCACAAAGCCAAAAATGTATTATGTGTATGGCACACAGCATTCAACAGTGGTGCCTTCCATGCCTGTGCGCTGGTCAAGATGGCTTGGGCTCAAGTTTGTGCGTTGCCCCCACCCCCATGTATCGAGCTGTCCAAATGCCCAGCAGATTGTGCGGATCGGCATTGTCAAGAGTACACTATAGAAACATGTGCTTCATTGTGCCTCAAATGCACCAAAGTCCAGTAGATTTTACAAGCATTGTTTGAAGACGATATTGAATCCAGTATCGTATTATTCATACAGTAACAACAAGCCAGTTGCAACCTCGGGCCTTGGTGAAACTTGCTTGGCGGGTGCACTTTCAGGCACAGGGAGATGCTGAGGGTCACACGTGGTGCAACACCATGAAGACGTTGACCGCATTGCTGGTCGTCACATGTGCCCTGCTTGTCATGGTGGTTCTCATATCCATGCACAAGAAGAAGAAACTCACCATCTTGGCATGGCTGCGAGTGCACGTGCTGGGGTGGGTCAAGCCATTCAGATTTACGATTTTGAAGGAAATAGAATGTGGAAGGAATTTGAAGGAATGTGGAAGAACGTGGAATGTGCCTTTCTGCAGCTTCTTAGGAAGAAATGCTGTTTCCTTTTGAGTCTGTGAGACTATGTATATCCGCAGTTCTTTGTGTGTTTTGTCCGCTTACGAATGTTCAGATGCATTAATTTGTTTGTCTTTCTTTCCATGCAATGGCCGTGTTTGCTGCACGTGTATTTTGGCAAGCTCATTGCTGTGTCCATTTGTTAATTCCCTTGCACGGTAACAGTTGTGTTTCTGTCATGTGGTGGCACGGTATTGTGCAGAACGAAAAATGCTGCAGATTCATCTTGTGCACTTCTGACAAGAAATTGCTGTTCCAGATCAGATACCCTACACTCCATCATGCAATGCCATGTCACAAGGATCAGAAATTATGCGGACCATAACAACTCTGTGCTGTTTTTCACGCGATGCAGGCGCCCCGACTTTACCAGCCGCAGCGTGCAACTCCAGCAGGCGCCTTCCAGCCAGCTCCCTCCATCCCGGGCCGCCATGGCCAAGACCAGAGCGCCGAATCCCACCCCTGATGAATATGACGCTCCCAACCCAGCGTTCCCCATAGTGGACATCCAGAACATTCTGCCCCTGGAGGGGGGCTGGGAGCAGCCTGGTGCGCACGGCAGCGTGAGGGAGGGCATTTGGCTGGATTGGAATCAGCGGGCACGCAAGGTTGCCATCAAGGTTGCCCGGTTGCCGAGCAGCGACGACTGCGTGGATGCCATAACCAAGGAGTTCGAGATCCTGGCGACGCTGCCGCCCCACCCGAGGATCGTGTGGGTGATCGGCATGCGCCTTGGGGAGGGCCCAATGATCGTCCAGGAGCTCATGGCCATGAATCTGGGGGGGGCCTTGTCAGTGGAGGCCCCCGGGCTGACCTACCTACAGATTCTAGGAATAGGGTTAGACGTTTCCAGGGGGATGAGTCACCTGCATGAGCATGGGGTCACGCATTTTGGCATCAAGCCATCAAACATCTTGCTGGACACAGAGGGGCGGGCGAAGCTGGCGGACTTCACGTGCTCGAAGTTGAAGATGGCGTCGACGGTTTGCGTGGCTGGGTGCGGCACGTTGGGCTACATCGCGCCAGAGTGCCTCGTGGGTCCTTCGAGAACCTCGCAGAGCCTTCAGGAAGCGGCTCCGGAGACCAGCCCCGAGCCCCGGGGACCTGTCGGAGAAGTTCCAGAGGAGAAGGTGGACATCTACAGCTTTGGGAAGGTCATGCTGGAATGTGTGACTGGACGATTGGATGTTAAGAACGAAGCTGCAGCGAAGCTGTGCCCCGGTGAGGTTTGGGAATTGATCGGCTGGTGCGTGAGCAGGGATCCCAAGGACAGGCCGAGCAGTGAGGAAGTTGTTGGGAAGCTGGAGGGGATGTTACAGTGCGGGGGGGAGTGGCTGGGCAGGAGCCCCAGACAGGACGTTTGGCTGGCAACGTGACTGCTGGACGGCCTGTAGGGCCGATTCGCCACCGGCCGAAGTTTTGAGGACGCGGGACACAACGTGGCATTCGGGGGCCAGCGTTTTTTATGCAGTTTGTGTGTCCTGTACTTTGTGCTCTGTAGTTTGTACCTGGCGCGAAATGGCGCCCGAAATGTGATTAGGAGTCTGATCTCCAGTAGTTTAGTACTACTGGCCGGTGTTGCAGTTGTTGAAGCCAGTGTTGCGGAAAAGCGGCGAGAGGCGCAGTACTGTGCAGCACTTGTTATTACCATTTGTTCCTGGTATTGTTCAAGACTTTTGACGCAAGCGGCAATTTCAAGGTGCAGGGACAAGGACAGCGGCACGGCTGAGGGCAAAAAGCAGAAGTCGTCTAAAACGATCATTTCTTTCTTCAAACTTGGTTCGTTGATAGATTTCGCGGTGGGAGGGAGATTGTCGAATTGAGAAAATGAAGTTGCTTTTCGAGACCCGATTAGCTGTCCTAATGGCGCGGGGGGGACTGCCGGCATAGGAATAGGAACTCTTCGCAATATCTGGATGTTGCGTATGGTGACGTCAGGGCCATGGGCGACGTGAAGTTGGGTCTCGTTCGTGATTGTCCCTGCTGGGCGAATCTCTTATGGATAGATATGGATTTTAACGAACACAAACGAGGGTGAATTGTACTCAAATGGATGCGTGTGTTTGCTGACTGTTAGCCAATGGGCGAGATGACATGATGATCGGAACGCGCTGGACGTTACGTGATCTGGTCCCCTTGTTCAGCGGTGACGAGATCGCGTGATGTGCCCTCATTCGCTAATAATTTCTGGCTGTGGCAGTTTTGTTGAGAACATGGATAACAGAGTTGTAGTGCAGGGCAGGGCGAACGGCGCGGCGTCCAGGTTTATGGCAGAATTTGGATCAGAATCGGGATGAGCATCCTTTGGGAATTCATGGCACGAGCAAAGCACAATAAAGTACTACCGCTTGCACCAAGAGGTGGTTGTCGAAGGGGCGACATACGTCACGGATGTCAAGATGACGAGTGGCCACCGGGCCGGTGATGGATATTGTGCGCCCGTTTAACTACTAGTTTGGGCCTGGAACCCTGCTGATCAATTTTGGGGTTGTCAGGAAGTAATGACGAAGCTGGAAGTCCCTCTGCGTTCTGACTTCATGAATCGCATCCAACACAATCGCGGCTTAGCACATTACAGACAAAAACATGGAATGGATAATATTGTATAACGAATCACAATCGCAACGGGAGAATGGGAGGGAAGTTGACTTGGGCTGCTCAATTCCGCCCATCCTGCCGAAATCCAAAGCCCCCCACTGTTTCAGCTGAACAAAGAGCGCTTGTTTGACCCTCTTGCTTGTCCAGTAGCATGCCGCCCGTTCAAAAAATCTTGTCAGACCGCTGCCCCCGCCAAGTATATGAACAGCACATTACACATTTTCCTCGTCTGCGGACAGTGCGCGCCCCCTAACCTCATCAAGTTAGGTTTAGTATTGTCCCTTACGTGTTGGCGGCCACAGACGTCCGCCCCTCGCTAAGAAGCCCACATCTCGAATTCAATCGCCCATGTACACCCCCCACATTCCAACCACATTCCGGCCGCATTCATCCGTTTACAATTCGGCAAAATGCCCCCCCTCCCCACCCCGTTCGTTCGTCGCCCCTCGACCCGGTAAAGAAGCCCGCGCATCCACGCACCTTCCACGCATCTTCCACACACTTTCCGCGCATCTTCCATGCCCTTTCGATATCTTCGATTTTCAATTTGCATTATCGAAAGAGCGCCAAACCCGGCTGCCAAAGCCCCACCCCAGCAACCCCGCTGCTTTCCCAAAAACACGAATTTGAAATTCGAAATTCGCGGGCGACACGGCCGGGGTCCATACTACTAGGTCGCGATTCCTGGCTTTAGGACCTAAAAGCTATCCTAGCCAAGGAAATCCGTTATTGAAACGCGACCGGCATCAGCTGACCCGCCGTCCATCCCAATCAAGAGCATCAAATTTTCGGCTTCCTTTCGCCACGCCAAATGTACAGGGTTCTAAAGTGCCGTTCCAATGTACAGGTTTCTAATGTACTGCTCAGTTGTACAGGACCCTCCTGCATTGCCCCAATGCCCCCCCCCCCCCGGGGCCCCAGTGCAGCGCCCGCCCCCCACGCGCACTGCACGCCCCATCTGCCACTTTTGTCATTCTTCGACAATTGTCGAACGACCTACACAGTTTTTCAAACGCTTTAATCCAGAAAACAAAAAAAGCAAAAAAAAGCGCAGCGAAAGTTCGCTCCCCCATACCCCCGCCAAAAAATGCCGCAAGCTCGTTCAAACCGTCCCCCCCACGAGCCCGAGGCCCACAGCACCGGCTGGCCGCCATGTGTCGTATTTTGATGTCGTAGATACGCCGCACCTCTACGTTCCCGCACCCCGCGTTTCCAGAGACGCAACCCCATGTCCCCGGATTGAAGTCGAATTCAATGTTCGCTGAGGCCCAAGCCGCTGCCCGCTACGTGAGAGATCCCAATCAAATGGCGACAATCCTAAATGTGTGTAAAACCCCCATCCACCCACCCACCCACTTGGTTGCTGTCTCCTAATTTTATCAATAAGCCCGCACGGGCCAAGAAAAGAAACGTTCTGGCTGCCAATCTCAAAAGGCAACAATGGAGATGACGTCACTGTGCAGCGCCCGTGCCACCCGTAACGCCGAGCAATTGTGGTCCCTGGGGACCGCAAATCGGATCACATTGCCAGCCCCGCCAGCCCAGGCCCTCCCACCCGCCCACAAAAAAGTGCAAGCCAGGCATGCAACAGCCAATCTGCAACGTCTCACGTGATCGCAAACCACCTCACTCCAATTCCAACCCCCAATTGCGGCATGACCTTTCCCTTTCCCATCGCAGCAAGGCACATTGTAGCATGACATTTCCCTTCCCCAATGTAAATGTAGTACGGCGCATTGTTGAATTATCTTTTCCACACCTCCCCCCGCCCCTATGTCTTTTCTGCACTCCAATTAGCACATGGGCGCCCGAAGGCTGGGCCCCCCTGGCTCCGGCTCTGCCAGCCCGAACCACCCCTCCTCGTAGCGTGCCAAAATCGACGCCACCCACTTCCGCCTCCCATCCCCGGCCCCCAGTTCGTCCGCTCCGTTCGTCGTTCCTCGATCGGCGACCCCCAATCGACGAACCTCTCTTCCGCGGCAGTCGTCCCTCTTCGGCCCTCTCTTCCCGCTGGTTGCATCCGAGTTCCCGCGCCCGCAGGAGTCGAAAATTTTGCACCCGATCAGCCCATGACGCCAAGCGTTACGCTGCGGCGCCTGCAGCAGCACTTCGGCGTCGCTCGACATAGGCCCTGTGGTACGTGCCGGTACGGTTGCCGGTACGGGCGCCGACGCCTTGTACTTCATCGCACCGGTCAAGAGCGACAGGCCACGCGACCGCCTGACCTTGTGGACCTTAAGGACCTCCTCGTCGCTCAGCCGGTGGAAATCCAACGAGATGATTTTGGGCAGGCCTGCAGGCGCCTGGGACCGCGCCCCGGCACCCGGGCCCCAGGGCCCAGGCCCCGAAAACCAGGCCTTGCGGGCCCTGGGGCCCGGCTCGGAAGCTTCCTTCCACTTGGACCAGACGCGATCGCAGGATCGCCAGGGGGGAAGGGGCCGGCCGGTGTGGGCGAAGGCTTGGGCCATCTCGCGGCACAGTACTTTAACGAGCTCCAGCAGGCAATCGGCGGTGCCCACGTACTCGTCAGGGAGGACGTCCAGCACCTCGGAGTAGCGCTGGGTGGGTGCCTGATGAAAAGGCAAGCACGCGTAAAGTACGGCAGTGAGCGTGTCGACTAATGGCGCAGAACATCAGAAAGTGTCGGCGCATGTAGCAGAATGTTATTTGCCACAGGCACCAACACTTTCCAATATTGCCGGAAGACGCCGGTGAGTATCACGAAATACTGGGACGCGTCGATGAAGGAGTAGCGCCGTGCGGGGACTGCAAAGGCGGCACGGGCGCGGCACACCCGTCGGCGAGCGCATCGATGAACATCGCAGGCCGTCGACAACTACCGGTAACCGATGCAAACATCGAAAGGCGCTGACGATGGAGAAGCTCTGTGCGGGGACTGTCGTGGCAGCATGCACACATGATGTTGTCCCCCCTAAACTGGACGCCTAGAAACTGAGAAAGTGCAAGATCGAGCGCCACCTGTATGATGAAGTGCTTCTTGAAGTGCGGCTCCACGAGGTACTTGCCGCCCGACTCGTGCACCGCCTCTGTTTGACCGTCGTGCTTATTGGGTTTGACCGCTTTGACCGTCAAGTATCCGTGCACGTAGGCGGCGGGGTTGCGGGACTCGCTGCGGCGGGAGGCCTTCTCGGAAACCGGCCTGGCCGGCGAGTGCAGCGCGGAAACTGCACGCCAAAACGCGCAGACTAAAGTACGTAAATTACATAATAAAAAGCAGTGCATAATGACAGAGACGCACTAAAGTACAAACAAGCGCTAAATTACATCATAAAAAGAAGTACAGCAATAAGGAGAAGAACAGAAACAAAAATAACAGAAGCACGATTAAATCATCTTTGTGGGGGCGCCCCGTATTTCAGGACTTATTTGGACGTTGCAGTCGATTGACAGATAGTTGCGTGATATTTTCGCTCTAATTTGCACAGGAATAATGGCAGGTATCCCCAATTTCTGCCAACGTAAATAGTTACATTCTGCGCATTTCCCAAAAAGCACTTTTCCCAGATCTGCATCTCGAACTAAAATGCTGGAGCGCCAAAACCAAACGGCTGAAATACAGAAAAAGGCACTGCAACACTGAGATGAGCAAGCCAATGGAGCGCTAATGTGCTACATCAACTACCGAACTGGTCAAGTGGTGTGCACCGCAGTACTTAAAATCAACTGAAGAGGCTAACGTGCCATGCAGCACTTTAGTCCCACCTGTGTCTACCACGAGGTACCCCATGTCCTTCAGGCTCTTAGCCAAGACCTCTTCCTCCTCTTCGTCGACCGCAGCCGTCGGGGGGTCATCTTTGAGGCGGCGGATGTCCTCCAGCAGCTGCGGCCGTAAACTACTGCGCTCAGCCGCCTGGTTAAATCATGCTGTGATAGATACAGTTGCGTCAAAATTGAAGGAATGTATCAATTTTCGAATATTCTCTTCGTCAAGCCTCTCTGGTGGATTTCCTCTGTAATTTCTCAAGTTGGGTTCATAAGTACTGCGCTTGGGCTTTGCGCTTTAGATTTTGGAACAGCCTGTGCTGAAACGCATTTGGGGTCGTGTCTGTTGCCAAAACGCGGCCGCAAGGAACTGCGTTTGGGCTCAGCGCCAGAGGCGTTGCAGCACGCAACCGGAGGCAGCATCGAGGTTGTTTCTCAACAGTTTCCAGGCAGCGTCGGTTACCTTCCCCGCAGCTTCCCCGCCGTTCTTCTCAGGTGCACCGATCCCGCAAAAAATAAAGCCTTACTTTCTAATATATTGGATCATTTGAACGCGATACATATTGTCTGCAATTGAGGCAATCAGTTGAAGTAATTCTGCACCAAAGTCCACCCACCTTGCACCCGAAATCTCCACGAGGACTGGACAGCTCTTTCAAACGGCTCTTGACCCGCTCGTCCGCCCTGACGCCGCCGCTTTCTTTGATGGCCTTCATTTCGTCGGCCTTGGCCTCGACGCCTTCTAACTATCGAACAGTGGCGGGGTTATCCCACAGCGTCAAGAACTGCTTCAAGCTCAATTCTCAACAACGTTTTTTCCCTCCGGGCATTCTACCGGTGATTTTTGATTCACAGTGAAAGCTAACAATGCCAGTACTCGTTAGGCTATTTGGTTCAGGAATTAGTAGTCAAACAATTACTTGCTCTTTCCCTACTTCAGTTCATTCTATTGAGTGAAAGGGTGCCTGAACATTGTCACGGGTATGTATATATTTCATGTTCCTTCATTGTTGCTCGAGGTAAACTCGTGAATCATTCATCTGTGTATCTGCCGTTCGAATGTACTTCTATACTGTACTGATATATCTGCTGCTTGAATGTACCGCATTTCTGTTCCTTATGGATACGTCGGTTATGACTTCCTAGCATCTTCGGTGACTCAGTTTTGAACGTTGTTGCATTGCCGAAAAAGTTAAGGGACCATTCCCTGGTGTCGAGTCGCTGGCTCGTGTGCATCTAAGTAGCGGTTCGTATCTTGCAAATAAGTGAGTATGCGCCAAATTTGCCATCTCAAGCATGCCTTGGTGCCATGGTTCACCAGCCCCCGGCTCTAAGCTTTTCACAGTACAATCGCTCAACCGAGCAGCGACGGTTCCATCCAACGCCCCCAGGCTCACCCATCGCAACAACGCGACCCGATGTCAAACCCTCGCAACTTTGGCAGCTGCAAATCAACGGTCAAGCCGATCAACTGTCTCCCAACCAATCAATTGCTCGTTGCGACAGCACGGCCGAAACTCTCCCAAAAAGGTGGAGAGGGCCTCAACGCCCCAGCCAGCGACGAAGGTTTTCAACAGCCAACGACAGTGTTGCGCCCACCCCCAACCTCCTCCCACTCGCGCCGCGCCAAACTGCAACCACCCCACTCAACCCACCGGCGAGCCGGCACCTCCCCTATGCCCCCCATTGCCATCTGGCCCTCAAAAAACCAATCCAAAAAGGGGGCCCCGACAAAAAGGTCGCGGCGCCACCCCTGGGGCTCCGCCAGGCGGCGCGCCGAGCAACCGCAGTGGCCGCTCAATCCCGCCGCTGCGGTTTCGGTCCGAGAGCGGGGCGTTTCGGACCGAAAGGCGGCGCGCCTCGGCGCGCGAGCGCGTGTCGGAACGCCAGGACGGCGGGCGCTCCCCGCCAAAGGGGTCGGTCGCGCCTGCCAGCAGGCCAGCCTTCGCGAACGGAAGGGGCCCCGGCTGACTTGCGCCTTGGCCAATCGAGTCACGCGGATGTTTCGGAATTTCGATGCATCCATGCACGACGTGCAGGGCGGCGAAGGCGGCAGATGCCGCAAGGAGAATCCACTTGCCCCCTTGCATGGGTGCTCGAACCGGGTAAGCCGATGTCGGCGAAAACAACAACGCGCACGCGAGAAAAGCTGTGCTTTGGCTTACAGAAGGGGGCAGGGGGCGTGAGAACGCGCGCCGGTTTGGATTCACGACTCTCTTGGACGAAGAAGCCTTCGGCCTCGTGCTCCCAGGCGCCCCCAGACCGTAGCACAGTGCAGAAAGTCCCGGCGGCCAAACGGCAGAAAAAGGGGGCGGGTGGGAGGGCAGCAGAGGTTGGCCAAGCAGTAGTGCATCACACTACAAGCGCGACGCGCGGATTGTCTTCCAACGGCTCTTGGCATCCGGGAGGCCACTGATTTTTGGTTTTCCGGTTTTCGGGCCCGCCTTTCCAATGGGCCGAATCGACTCTGCGCCCCTTGGGCGGTTTGGGAGCTCCAGCGGAGGCCGGCGCCTGTCCAGTCAACAGAGGGGCCGGGGAAGCTGACCACAAATCGATGAATCGGCGAGTTCTCGATTGGCGGACGCCACAGGCGGCGGGGCCTCTGGACGTCCCCCCCCCCCTTGGAGCCCACCGCCGGGCAGCGCGCAGAGTAACACCCGTGGAGGGTAACGCGGAGGGCAACGCCATCGGCCCCCCCGACCCCGGGCGGCATAAGCGTCACGGCTCCCGCCCAGCCCAATCGGGAGACCCCCCGGAGCCCCCGGATGCCATGATGCGCCACCCACCCCAGGCGAATCCTAAAGTTGCAGATGCATGGTTTTTAGAGCCAGTGAGTCAACGAGCAAACGCCGGCCGCACCCACCTCCATTGTGAACACCCCGTCTTCCCCATCCCGCTCTCTTGGCGAGCAATCATCGCCCCTGGGCCCCAATTCCTCCCCGCCCTCGGCCCGACGACCCTGCCGTCTCCGCCGCCGCCCGTGGGTCAGCGACCGGTCAACGGGGTCGACGGAAAACTGACCCACGGGGCGGCGGCGCCGCCTGTGGGTCAGCACGCTGACCAGCATGCCTGCCCGCCGCTCGGGGCGTCGCGCGGCATGTTCACAAAGAGGGGCGGAAAAATTTTGGAGCGGTTGTCGATAAGTGCTGCTGTGGGGTGGGGGGCGGGCCTGTCGGGGGGGCTTAGTCAGCCTTTGGGGATCCCGGAAATCTCCTGGGAGCAGCCTACTGGGAGAGAGTACTGATGCAAAGTACTGGGATGGGTTTGGGTCGGTCGACGGGGCATTAGTCACTACTATCAGGATCCCGGAAACCTCCAGGGGCAGGTTAAGTACTGGGGTTGGTGTGGACCGGGATTGGGCGCTTAGGGACGGCGTTTGACCGGGTTGGCGGGCGCCAGAAACTCTGCTCGCTGGTTTGGTGACGGAAGGTGGCTGTGGGGGGGGTGACAGAAACCTCCTAGGGGTGTTTGTGGCCCTTGAAAGACCGGAAGGGCGGGGAATCCCGGTGTGGCGGTGACGTGGCCGCTGGACGCCCCAAGGGCCGACTTGACGCCCAGTACTGGCCAGGGCCCAGTACTTGGAACCTGCCCAGCGGGGCCAAGTGCCCAGACCTAATCAGGGTTAGTTTGGGCCAACAGCAGTTGTGCAAATCCGTTTCTGTGGCGTTGAAGCACCGGATTAGAGGCCTGGCCTATATGCGGGTGCTTGCTTAGTACTGACCAAGTCGGAGCCAAGAGCCGAGGACCTAATTGGGCGGTCCATGATTTGGTTTGATAGTGTTGTAACAAACTAGGTGGCACTTAAACGCTGGGAATGAGCTTTGGCTGTGGATGCCTTAAGTACCGCTCGTGGGCTGACTTGATGCTGTAGTAAGGGAAAAAAGGGTGGGGGGGGGTGTGTGTGGGGAGGACTGAGGAGCTTATTGCGAATTACTTCCTCCAACTAACTTTCGTGCAAAATGTTGGTAAGGGGGTCACGGAAAACAACAAAATATGCATTTTGCGCATGAGCAAAATGCAAGAAACACACCACAACAATGAACTTACACACAAACAGGGCATTTTTTGGGTCACTCAATGGACAGGAAAACCACAATATTTCGCACAAAAAAAATTAACTTGGTGCCGGCCAAGGACGCCTACAACCACCTTACAATCAATCTTTGTGACCCACAAGTCGTGGGTGCAACATGGCCTTGCCCCGTCATCTGCCGTGGATCCGCCTGTGCACCACAAGCATTTCCCGCTTGAATTGGGGAATACTATCATGGTCACAATGGAACCCGTCAAGAGAGAACATTCCAGAACCACGTAGTTGAACAAAAAAAGGGCGTAGGAGACCACGAAGGAGGACAACCTTTGCGCGCCCCGCGCGCGCAAACGCAAGCAAGCAAATGGCAATTTTGCGCACAAATTTCCTTGTTTTCTGACGGCCAATCTTGAGCACAACCGTTTTGCCCAGAAAACCTATAATCGCGATGTTGCACATAAGTGCACCCTTTCGGACCTTACCGACATTTTGCACGAAAGCTAGTTCTCCGTCCCAGATTAATTGTCGTCTATGATTTTGGGGCATTATTCATCCATCATGCTCGCACCTGTTTTCAATGAAACTTCGCCCACGGTTGTGTTTTTGAGTTGGGAGTACACCATAAAATTTTCAAGTCAATCCATAACTGTTACGAATAGGATGTGGGTGTGGGGTTCCTGCCCTCTTTGAGCCGCGGACCCACCTCGCCGGGCACCTAGGTCCTTACAGGGCACCTAGGCGGGACCACCCCTCCTACTCCCGTATCCTAATATGGATAAAGGTTACATTGGGTGAGGAATAGTACGTGCCTTGGGCAGGGCGTCCCCCACACCAAGGGCCGTTAGTAGGACGTCTCCCACAACAGGCTGGTGCGCGTAACATTCGTCCCCCTCAGGGAGAGGGGCGTCCTCGTCCCAGTATAAGTGAATACGGGAGCAGAAACATTGTATGTATGTTGGTGGAACTGGCTGTGCGATTTGCCACATGCCCAGTTAACAAAACACAACACACAAAACAGTTTTGGATGAAGAGAAAGAGTGGTTGTTTTACATGACCGTCCCCGCCTTCACAACCCTCATTAAAACTCTTCCTCAGCCAAGTGGCTGGAAATGTTTGACCTCCCGGCCTTTCATCGGCGACCACGATGCCGAGTACCACCAAAAGCCCACGCCGGTATAGATCGGCCCGGTGCGGCACCCCGCCGTCGCCCACGTCCGCGTGCACGCCCAGGCGCACGGGGAAATGGCACGTAGGGGTCGGCGGTGTCCAACCTCTCCCCGTTGAGGATCGCGACGGACATGGCGTTCATGTGTCCAAACTGCGACCTTGCACGGGGGGCAGTATACCCAGTGTTTTTCTGGGCCCAGCGCAAGAGAACCTGTCAAAAGCATAAGCACACATGAGCATGTTTCAGTATGTACATCCCGTACTTCATGCAGTTTGCATTCGCATCACAGGTGTTCTGCCATTTTCAAATGCTTGAACCATTTCCTGTGCATTTGCAACTGACTTTGCTGATTCCCAGCTGTTATGCTCATGTCCATATCCCAGCCATTTGACAAGGTACTCAACATAGTTTTTGCGTCTCCCACGCTTTTTAATCCTTTTATCAAGGATACGTTCAACTTCATACTCCAGTTCACCTTCGATCTTGATAGGTACTGGGGGTGGCTGTACTCTGCCACTTGCCTTGTAAGGCTTAATCTTCGATACATGAAATACTGGATGTATCCTATGCATGCTTTCCGGGAGTTCTAGTCGATATGCAACAGAACCTATCCGGTCGAGGATGGTGAAGGGCCCAATCCACCTCGGTAATAGTTTTCGAGTTCCAGGGTGTTTGAGAGTAATATGCTGTGTCGAAAGGAGGACGTCATCTCCTTTACTAAACGACACCTCTCTCCGATGGCGGTCAGCATGCTTTGGCTGCCTATCTCGTGCTTTCTCTAAGCACGCCCTGGCCTCTTTCAGCGCTGATTGGACACGGTGATCAAATCGTGTCACTGCTGGTAATCCCTCCACGAGGGGTGTACCAGACTGCCTCAAATAAGGCTGCTGCGCCCTTTCAATGGCCACTGCCAAGCCGCTGGCATTCGGATTGTCATAGCCCTTTAATGGCTTCCGAATTTGCACACCAAGAGCTAAGGGACTCTTTGGGTGCCTCCCGTAATTCAGATAGAACGGGGTTTCTTGGGTGGAACTGTTTTTCGAGTTGTTCATTGCAAACTCGGCCATGGCTAACAGCTCATCCCACGCGTCATGGTCAGAACGCGTATAACTGCGTAAGTAATCCTCCAGAACCCGATTCATGACTTCGGTCTGGCCATCCGTCTGTGGATGGTACGCAGTGCTCATGTTGAGCTGGATCTTCCACCTCTCGGCCAGGTACTGGTAAAACCTGGAAGTGAACCGAACGTCTCTGTCGGACACTATCTGAGAGGGGAGGCCATGGTGCCTTATCACATTCTGCACCAACAGGTCAGCTGCTCCTTCTGCGGAGAGCTCGGTGGTCGTAGCTGCGAGGCGGACCATTTTGGTCAGTCTATCGACGAACACGACGACAGCATCATGACCTCCCTTAGTTTTTGGCAGTTGTGTAATGAAGTCCATGGACAACTCTGTCCATGGCTCCTCAGGAATGCCCAGTGGCTGTAATAAGCCTGGGGTCTTATGACGAGGGTACTTAGCCTGTTGACAAACCAGGCAAGTATCGACGTACTGGTGTACTTCTCGTCGCATTCCTGGCCACCAGTAATGCCGCTGGACCAAGTCCAGGGTCTTAGCTTGACCAAAGTGCCCATCACTTGGATGGTCATGAGCCAACTGGCAGATCTCAGTCCGCAGACTGGGAGACTCAGGGATATACACCTGAGTGCCTCGCAACCATAACCCATCTGTACAGCGCATATCTTGCTGCTGTCTAACAGACGCAAGCTGGGGATCCTTGCCATAGGCCTGACGGATCCTGGAAGCTAGATCTTTGGCCTCTACCGTTTCAGTTGCCTCTTTTTGGCTGCCCCGCTTATGCTTTACTCTTAAGCCACATACAACTAGTTGACTTTTCCTCTTAGCCTCCTGCTCATCGGGCGATGGAGGAATGCGAGAGAGTGGATCAGCCACATTCTTTCGCCCTCGGCGGTATTCCCAGTCAAAGTCAAACTGTTGTAAGATTTCTGACCACCTGGCCTGTCTGCGGCTCAGTTGTGGTTGTGACTTAAGGTAGGTCAACGGACAGTGGTCCGTTACTAGTTTGAAGCATGTTCCTTCAAGGTAACATCTCCACAACTGGACAGCATGGACCGAAGCTAAAGCTTCCCGGTCTGTCACGCTGTAGTTCAACTCCGCTGGGAGGAACTTTCGACTCGCATAACAAATAGGGTGATTGTCCTGCATCAGGACCGCCCCCACAGCAGTTTGTGAGGCATCGGCGATGACCTCAAATGGTCTCTCAGGATCTGGTATTTTGAGCAAAGGAGCCGTGGTCAAACACTCCTTGATGTGCTCAAATGTTGACTGACATTTCGACGTCCACTCCCACTTGCCATTCTGTTTGGTCAAGTCTGTCAATGGAGTCGCCATTTTCGAATAGCCCCTGAATGAACTTTCGAAAGTAATTTGCCAGTCCGAGGAACTGCTGTACGTGCTTCACGCACTGAGGTACAGGCCAGTTCTTCACCTTTTCAATCCCTTCGGGATCTGGGCGAATTCCTTCTTGAGACACGATGTGTCCTAGGTAGGAGATCTCCTCCTTATTGAACTGACACTTGTGCATTCGACAGTATAACTTTTGCTGTCGTAACACTTCTAACACCTGCCGAAGGTGTTGTATGTGTTCCTCAGCAGTTCGGCTAAACATCAAGATATCGTCCAGGTAAACTAGGACGTGTTTGCCAAGTTGATCACCAAATATATGGTGCATCGTCTGCTGGAATATCGCAGGGGCATTCGCAAGTCCAAAGGGAAGTACTTTGAACTCGTACAAGCCCAATGGCGTAACAAACGCCGTTTTGGCACAATCTACCTTATCGATCCGTAAT